GCCTGCTTCTCCCTCTCCCACACCCCCTTCTTGTGTTCTCTCTCTCTGTCAAATAAATAAATAAAATCTTTAAAAAAAATAAAAATAAAAATAAAATTGGGGAAAGGAAGAAAATCCAACTCAGAAAAAGCTTTAAGCACGGAAGTGTGCATTGAGCTTTATTTAGAATTGCAAAGCAAAACAATTTAAAGGCCTGACAATAGAGAGGTGATTAATGGTGATGCCATACTATAAAATATTATGTAGCCACTAAAAATATCTTAAAAATTTTTTATAAATATAAACATTTATAAATGTTATACTATGAAGTTAAAAATAATAGTGTAGGGGAGCGTCTGGGTGGCTCAGTCGGTTAAGCATCTGTCTTTGGCTTAGGTCATGATCCCAGAGTCCTGGGATCGAGTCCCACATCGGGCTCCTTGCTCGGCGAGGAATCTGCTTCTCCCTCTGCCCCTCCCCCTACTCATGTTCTCTCTCTCTCTCAAATAAATAGAAAAAATGTAAAAAAAATAATAGTGTAGGAATATTCAGGTTTTGCCTACTGTTGATATAAAAAGTTTGCAGAGAAAATGAAACTATGACAAAATGCCAATAATGACTCAGAGATTGTGTGTTTTTCCCTTTCCTCCCAAATTTTCTACAGTGAAAACATTTCTAATCAGAAAAACATGGATAGGAATACATTGTAACTGGAAGTGTTACAGTAGATGATAGTAAAGCAAAAAAGAAAAATAGAAGGACATAGAAAGTCCAAGTAATTGAGAAGGGACATTTTTTTTTTTAAAGATTTTATTTATTTATTTGACAGAGAAAAACAGCGAGAGCAGGAACACAAGCAGGGGGAGTGGGAGAGGGAGAAGCAGGCTTCCTGCTGATCAGGGAGCCTGATGTGGGACTCGATCCCAGGACCCTGGGATCATGACCTGAGCCGAAGGCAGACGCTTAACGACTGAGCCACCCAGGTGCCCGAGAAGGGAAATTTTTAAACACCAGGAATTAAAATGTATGATATAAATCCTGCGGAGGATTTATCAGATGCTATGCCAATAATCCATATAGTCTGTAAAAAAAAAAAAAAAAAGACCTATAAATACAGGGAAACATTGCACTTGTCTATTCCCTCAGTGTCCTGCCCCAGAACCTGATTGTGTACGTATCACCTACATTACCACAAGTACTTGGGAATTAAAAAATTGTCCTGTGTCACGTACTCTTCAGTTTGGAAGTGAAGAATGCCTTTTCCGCGTGCGTTGGTAACAAACACCATATGTCATGTGGAGCTTCCTCTAAGTTGTACTTCGA